TATGAGGTATTTTTTTCTTTCTTTTTCTCCTTTCTGGACAATATCTCATTAAAACATTGTCCATGTGGTGGATGGGAAATTCTATTTTGTTATTGTAAAGTTAACACAAGGCCAGGTGGAAGTTGTAATTCAAAAACAGTTCCTGCCTCTAGATCCAAAGCGACACTAATTTCAGATGGATAATTGCTTCTTTACAACAGTGCCAGTTTTATCCTACATAAACAAATGTAAAGTGAAACTCACTTTCCATTATACACATAGACCTATTTCATGAACAGAAAGGTACATGAAGGTCTGTATAGTCGCTAGTGGATATATGTATATACGGTAGAGAATAATTGGGCATGCCCCCCCCCCCTCGAATATAAAGTTACATTTGCTGCACTACATTACCAAGACTTGTAATTTGTACTTGGTAGAGATTGGCATCTCCGCAAATATGGTCTTCTCTATGCTATAAAGAACTGCAAGAGTCGTGCCATTCATAACTCAGCAGAAATCTTGACGTCAACTGCAAACTATTGTAAAGCTAGGAAATTTACAAATTTCAAGGAAGCAGTAAGGTCGAGATTTGCAAAGGTTCAAACCATATGATACCAGTATGGTCAACTTCAGAGAGTTTCTTGTGCCAAACACGAGCAGACGATAAGTTTGCATAAGTATCTGGTCTTTTTAAGTAACATACTTGATTGAGGTCAGTGGCTTAACATGTAATAACATCACATGATCAGTCACGATTAGGCGTTTCTCCTTGAATATGATATTTTGAACCTAAAACCAGACTACATTTACATTACTCAAAAGGTAAATATCTTAATACGATAATTTCTATATTACATCTTTCCTATAGAGACAAACCATGAGCAATAATGCTGTGCATTTGGTGCTTGCAAAATATCCTGACCTGGTTATATTTCCTGGTTACAATTAACCACATTAGGAACTAGAAAACCGTATTCTACATGATGGGTATGATTAATACATAAGAACCCACAACAACTATAAACCACATTGATAGAAGCATGAGAGAAAGTAACGAAGCCCGACATTAAGAAAGTAAACTGGCATAAATCTGATTATTGTATTTGAAGTACCTGCATTGTATCTTTCTGGCTATATTATGGTCTGGAAGTTTTATAACTTTGACTGCGTTCTATGTGGCATTGTTGGTGCCTACGAGAGGGTCAGTGGTGGTGAGGGGTAGGGGTGGGGGTTCAACAAACTGGTGGACAGAATGTGGGTCTGGTATCCCCACTTCCCCTCACAGCATGATGGTGATGGTAACGACGGAAGAAGAGATGATGATGATGCTTGGAGTGAGAATCATGGTAATAATCATAATGATGGTAATACAAGTATATATGACGTACCGAAAATCTCCGTGTATAAGGCGCACCTGTGTATAAGGCGCATCCCTATTTTAGGGAGGAGAAAAAAAAAAGAAAAAAAATTGTTTTGTTGTTGTTGTTGTTTTGTTGCCGAAAACCCACGCGGGGAAGGACCTTCATTTTACATCGAGGTGCAGTTGAAGTTGTGAACTTGTCATAAATAAAAGTAACAACAGTCTAAGGCTTCATGATACCAAGTGTCCCACACCAGCCTCATCACATCACCTAGCAGAAGCACTGTGTTCTATGCCAAACATCAATAGTCATGCATGATATGAATAGCATCCTCTAAATTTCTGACAATGGAGTACCTAGGATAGAACCTTGTGGTACACCATTTGTTATAGAAAAAAAATTGAGGAATTATTATTATAAACTACATATTGAGATCTATTAGAAAGATTACTTTCAAACCAAGATGACAGACAAATTTGAGTGTTGTTGTAGTTTTCGAGTGGCGAGTCAACACACTGTTTACTGAGCATAAATCGAAACTAAAAAAAAAAATTAAAAAAAAAACTTTTTTTCTGTACCTGTGTATAAGACGCACCCCCGACTTTCAATTTTTTTCGGCGGCAAAAAAGTGCGCTTATACACAGAGATTTACGGTAGTTCTTAGTGTGATGTTAGAGGTCATGAAATAGTGAATAGTGGAAGTGTTAGAGTGGCGATGAGAACATGAGAGTGGTGGTGAACGATGCGGCCCGCTGATGAGACCCATGATGATCATGAAGATGGTGATGGTGGTAGGGATGGAAATGATGGTGGGGCTGGTGTCATAGTGGTAATAACTAGTGCTGTAGTCAAACGTTTAACCGTCCGGTATCCGACCGCCCATGGCGGATTCCGTTTTCAATTGGACGGTTTCGTTTTCCCGTTTTTTTTTTTTTTTTTTTTTTTTTTTTTTTAAGTTTCGATTTATGCCCCTCCACCTGGCACTATGCCTGGCAATGTCTCCCATCTCAGTAATCGGTGTGATGACTTACCACTTGGAAACTAGAACAACACTCCAATTTGTCTGTCATCTTGGTTTGAAAGTAATCTTTGTAATAGATAAGATCTCAATATATATTCATCCCAGTTTAACACATGGTGTAACACAAGGTTCTATCCTAGGTCCTCTACTGTTTTTAATTTACTTTAATGATCTTACACATTATTCTAAAACGACATTGTTACTATTATTTGTGACTAGTTCACAAGCACAAATCGGCGCCTTCAGTTAAATCACCTTCCTGCTTTTTCACACGGCCAAAAAAAAAAAAAAAAATTTTTTTTAATAAATCGTTTAACCGAAAACCGTCCGGTTTTGACAGGCGGTTAAACGGAATTGGAGATATCCGTGATGTTACAGCACTAGTAATAACTAATAATGGTGGTAGAAGTGTTAGAGAGAAGATGATAATTGTGGACATGATTATCACAATAACTATGATGATCATTGTAGTGAAGAAGATTCGGTGGGGTGGTAACATGCAATAGAGATCATGACGATGATAAAAGTGATTCCAATAAGGCCTAAAATAAAAACTTGTTGGATTGCCCTTTGCGACAAACCCAACAATCTGAAAATCTACGGTCGGCATTTTAAAAAGGTTTTTTTTTAACCGTTTTTTTAGAATTTTTTGTATTAATGAATAAAAAAATATGTATTTTGTTTGACTTAGGATATAAATGCATAAAATCAAATTATTCCAAACAATCTTCACATTGCTAGCAAGTTTTACAGGTAGTTGAAACCCAACTTCGTCAGCAGGAAAGCACAGAGTGTTGTCTCAACACAACATTGCAAATCATGGATTATTATGAGGTGAAAAAGATATGAATGGAATGATGACTCTGAAACACATGTATTAAAGCATTAAAATTGAGAAATATTATCCAAAAGAGGGCGGGAAAAAAACCAAAAAAACATTAAAAACTGAAAAATATCGGCCCAAAGAGGGCGAAAAAAAAAAGTTAAAAAAAAAAAAAAATTCCGACCGGCCGACCCATGTTTTGGCACCTAAAGGGCAATGCAACAAGTTTTTATTTTAGGCCTAATGATAATGGTCATACCGGGGAGAACAATGATGAAGGTGGTGATTATGACATATGGTGGTGATGTTACAATGGGATGGGCAGTTGTGGTGGTGATGATGATAGTTAAAAGGACAATGTTGTTATACCCAACAACTATAACCATAATAACTTAACTCTTTATACGCCACAAAAATATTTTCCCGGTGCCATGTTGAATTTATCATGTGATAAGTTCCAAGATTACTTTACTGCATCCAGCGCAAGATTAATCTATATAGGTGTTAGGGGGGTTGTCATGGAACTAATCAAGACCGAACATGGCTAATTTTACCAAAACCATTGTTGCACAAAGCAATCCTTCCATCAATTAATTCCCATCGTTTTGTGTAAAATTGCACTATGGCAAACGAGAAAGGCTAGGAAAGCAACCAAAGTGTTAACAACTGCCATGTATTCCAAGAGTAATTCGTAATTAAGAAAAATAACGATAAACAATAAAATACAAGCAAGAGAATTCAAGAATTCCTCCTCTCCTAACGTTTAAAGCTAAAAGTCTATCTCTAAACAACAATCATGATAATGGATCAAGCCTACTGTATCTTTCCAAGTTACAATAGTCTGCATTCTGCACCTGATACCCATGTTGATATAGTGGACAAGGCTCCATTATACATAGCCAAAACTCAAGAGGCTGCAGAATGCTTCATAATTCACCTGTTTGGAGCCAGAAGGGCATTAACTCTGTGCAAGTGATATAAGGTAACGCCCTTCCGACTCCAAAACAGAATACACTCCACAATGTCGAGGCACAAACATAGTCCTATTCATGTGAGGTACATGTAATTTGAGAAATGGTGGATTGTTTCAATGCATCGATAATTTTACTTGAACTTAAAGCTATACTATTGCTACATCTAAGAATGAAGATATTCAATCACTCATCTCGTCATAACAAAGACAGCTATTAGGACATATTGATACAGCATTCTAGCATCGACTACTAAATCTAAAATGGCAGATGATTTACTGTAAACACCGTTACATATTCGCGGGTTCTTAAATTCGTGTGGCACACTTTACTCCATTGTTTTCATTCCTATCCGTGCACAAAAAGTGCATTGGAGCAAACAGGTACTAGTATTGCACGCAATTCAGCTCGTTCAAAACATGCATATGAAATCATGCATATATATTTTCATGAGTTCTAAAATTCGCTCTTGCCGATCTAAGCGTGAAATCCGCGAAAAGTTAATGTACCTACTATTAATATTTCTACTGTTACAGTATGGTGATTGGTGATGAAGGGATTCAATGGGATAACTTGTTAACAGGGGCATAAAATTGTTGTGTGAACCAAATGGCAAATAAAGTATACAGAGGTATAATACTGAACCAGTACATGCCATGAACCAATTAGTACAACCACAATTAACTGACAGTACTAGAGTAACAAATTGAACACGGATTAGACTAAGCGGAACCGCCCCCACGATTTCACCGCGGGAAGCCCCTTGCGCTTGCAAAATATGAGAATTCTCAATACGTGAAAAATTGACAAATTATGACCATAAACTTATATCATTTTAATACCTTCAACGGGTTCACTCTTATTCATACTCATGTCGACGACTTCTCTATGAACTTCGGTATGAATCTGGAAGCCCCTCTCGTCCTGACAGACGAAACGATGAGGTCAAAGATGACTGGAATCTTTGGACTTTAGAGTGGACTTCGCTCGCCTCTTTGGCTGCTGTCTGCTACTACCGAATAACGTGGATGGAACTGGACTTCGTACGGATGTCTACAGCAGACTGGACTCTCGACTATAGAGCTCTTTCGCTCGTTCGATCAGCTACCAAAACCGCTCACACACGCTCATCTTTGCAACAGGTTGATGTCGGCTTACTTGGTATACAGTCATGCAGCTAACCGTTATCATAAGCCCATCAGAAAAGTAAATATAAACGCTATCAAGAGAATCGGAGTCAGGCGGTTCAACTCAAAATACGATAATCTACGTAGCCTATGTATGCAAAGTGTACGAGGCCAGTCAACATAATCCGCGCGGAACGCATGGGCAAATTTGTACTCCACTTCCGCATATAGCCTGGTATTCCCCACACACTACCACCACCACTTGTTGCGCGCCCCCTATGATACCAGTCGAAAAGGCGTTGATTCGAGGAAAGTTTTGATCTTATGAGGGGGAAAGTTTCGGCCAATCAACTTTCGATGTTGTAAAGCCATTGTTCTCAACTCTCACTCCGTACGCAATCGTAATGCCCGTAACTTGAATATCTGCAACTAGGGTTTCTTCTTTCTTTTGCCATTGACGTTAAAACACAGAAAGATGAAGTTAAAGTTTGTGAAAATATCTCAGAAATTGAGTCAATCAATAGAAATTTCATAATTTGGGAATACTATGATTAACTGAATCCATGGTTATAAGGGTGATGCTAAAAAAATTGTGTTGGGGTTTCAGAACAGAGATGCCAGTACTGTAGCATAAGAAACAAGTAATAAAGATAAACAGTGATAGCATTAATTCATTTTATTTCATTTTATTTGAACTGTTAGATGTAAATCAAACCCTACGCACTAAAATTTAGCCAAAATACAACACATATCTTCTCTTATCCATTGTTAATCATATCATGAACTCTCCCAGAGACATTAAACATAGGCCCTATAATTGAACTGTTTACTTTATTAAAATGTTTCAAGGTAGTGCTCGGGTTGTTAACCTTTTAAATGCGTGTTCATATCTTTGAACAACTTTACCCCGTGGAAGAGCTATTTCAATCACATTTCCCCCCTAAACCAAATGAGTATCAAACATTTTTTTCTGACAAGTTTCAGGATTATCAAGTGCATAATTTTGTGAGATAAGTACAGGATAAATATATACATATTTAATTTCTCATCACCTAATAAAAGACTGATCTATTTGCATGCAAAATAAAAGAATTTCTTAGATTCTGACAAAAATGTGTGAGGTACGGAGTGGATGGATTAACCAATGAAATTACAAATTTGTATCACTTTAAAGCTTTAAAACAAAATATAAAAAAACACTTATTTTTAAATATGCGATTCTCTTTATAGCTCAGTAATGGTGAAACATACATGTATTCCAATGACCGCCCCTCCCCTTTTGTTTTACTGTTTACAATGTGATATGATTACTTTGGAGATTAACCCTGGCGAGCAACTTTGCCTTGCCCCCCCCCCCCTCTGCATATGCATACTGGTTTATCATCTTACCCCCCCCCCCCCATTTGTCACTTATTTGTTTTTCTTGTTATGTGTGCATTCCTTTATATTTTAAAATGTACAATATTTTGTATTTGCACGTATTTTAACTGGAAATTGGAAAATAAATGAAAATAAATGATAGTGAGAATCTGTTAAGTCCAACTTCCTGCCTTTGAAATATTTTATATCATGCTCCCCAGGGAGTGGAGAATGTGCATGCATTGTGTGCGGGTAAGCCTGATCCGATGACCGGGTAATAATATATCTGTAAAGCGCTTAGACACATCGTTCTATCGATGTATTGGGTGCTATATAAACACAGAATATTATTATTATTATTATCATTATTCAAATACTTTTTTTTTTTTGGGGGGGGGGGGGGAGATTGTAATGCTAATTTGATATGTAAAATGGGTATCTAACAGTATTAGCAACCCTTAAACAACTGACAGAATAGATATCGTGTAAAATTTAGACATTATTCAGACACATTTATTTACAGCCACATATATTTTCATCATGAATAGAAAATTTAATACCGTACAATAATCATCATTTCCATAATTTACAAATAACAAAGTTGCTATATTACATGTATTTACAATCTAGCCTGGGCAGTGGCATAATATTGATTTTTGATGATAAAAACATATATTTGATACAAACATATACAAACTGCAACACAACAGATCAATATCACAAACCAAATCATCAACATGTATATCATATAAAAGTCACAAATAGTTATTAATAATGTTAGATGAGCAGTATAAATATATGAAATTTATTCCACGATGCATATAAGACATTTTCTTAGTTGTGTTTCAGTTTAAGGTGTACAATAGTTCATGATAACGTCATAAGGTTAAACAAAGTTAAAACAGATACTGTATCTGGATTTCCAGACTTTAAAACATAATTTGCTATTACCATTACAATCTTTCCATGCAGTATTTTTAGCCATATAGTGTGGTTTTTCATACAGTTTGAAGGCTCTACTTTTGTATTGTTGTGGATTTGTACTAAGTTGAACACACTTTAAACTGCATGGCCATGGCCTGTGCTATTTAATACCTTTACATTCTTATATTTTCTATAAACTTCTCTTTTTTTGCATCTGGTGAATACTGATATGGCAAAAACATGTTGTCAATTCAGGCTTTCAAGCAAATTCTTCAATAGCTAGGCAGACAAATCTTAATTTCTTGAATATTAACCATCTCTGAGCGGAAGAGAATTGAAGCCCCGCTCTCTGTATGGAAATAATCAATGATTAACTAAATAATATCTACACTGCAAACACAATGTCTTCATTTAGGTATCCAGCCTCTTACAAAGTAAACAGAGTTATGATAGGGATGTTGATTTATTGCCCACAGGAGCTCAGCTTGGTATTCTCTCAAAGCAGCTTAGTATGGTAGAGTATTCTCTTAATTAAAGAGCAGGTCGACTCAGTTCTTGCAAAGGTGAACAAAATTTGTGAGATTTGAGAGAATATTGCAGCAGAAATATTTCATGAAACAGAATGGATTTGCCCTTGAATTGCCATCAAATATTCTGATTAATTGCGACTAGAAATAATTTTGAACTCAGGACCAAAGACCAGTGTCACATATTTGCCTACCGTAGTCCCATATTCTCAAGTCTGAGTTCAGTGCTTTTAAAATTTTATGACATTCTCCAAGATTTATTCAATTTGTTATACAAATATTTCTGACGATTCCAAACCCAATAATACATATTTTTGTTCATATATAATACACAATCAACTAAAAGCTTAAAGACAGTTTTCTTCACAGTGGATTTGCATGATATTTATTCCACATCACCTCCATATACATGGGTGCAGTGTGAGAACAGGGTGAATATCATATATGCTGTAAATGAATAATAATGATAATTATTTATATTCATATTTGGATTTAGGGAGCTGTCTCTAAGCGTTTCTACAGATATTATTACCCAGTCATCGGATTCATTCATGCACAATGTGCACCATCTCCACTCCCTAGGGAGTATTTCTACCATATGGTCACCACGAGGGCATATGGAAATTACTAACACAAAGGCTTTCGTCCTACCAGGTCCGCACTTCACTCCTGGGTAACATGGTTTAACCACTCAACTCAAAAGATGTTTTTTCCCCTCCAGAATCCAAGATCTGGATACCCCTCTGTTTACAATATCTCAAGAGAAGTAACATCTGAAGCTGATAATTTTGAATGTAATAACTGGAAAGAAACCCCCAAAACACAGAGCAAATATTATCTTGGTGAAAGGTCCCCTTTAACTAAACCATAAAACCGATTAATGCTATTACCTTGACTCTTCATGCTCTCATTATATCGTGTACACATTTTTTTTTTAAATCATAAAATAGAAACAAGACAGAATAACAGCATACAAATACACTGTAAAAGATGAAGTATATTTATAGGATTGTTTTAGGTCATGACATGATCTTATCGGTTAAAGCGATAAGATACGATACAGTGACACTGCAAAGCTGATAAATAAGAATTCAAATGTTTTATTACCTTCAACCGAAGCATTATCACATCTTTTATCACTCGAAGAGATTAAAAATCGGCTCTGTGCAAATACCTACTGCACGCAATCATACTTCTCTATCAGGGCAATAGCACAGAAACGTGAATACTCTATTTGCTTAAAAATTGATTATGAGCTCTAAGTTTAAATTCATAGAATTTCAATCTTGATATTTTCTGCTCAAACTTTGTAGCAGCTGGAAAATTACTACTGAAGTGGTATATTAAAAGAAAAAGAATTAGGTTATGCACTTATGCTACCCTCGATACCCACACAGATATCATAGCATGGCAGTTCAACTGACTGTTAATTGTTAAAAAAACACCTTCTTGGAGCTATTTCATACAGTACTTAATAAAAGTCTTTTGCATTCAACAAAGATAAAAATGAATGCTTTCTTTATAACATAGAACAGCTTTTTGAATAATGTAGGGAGATTAACAAATGGTACTCAATGGAAAACTTAAGTACAACCCAAGGCAATTTCATTAACCTTGGCAATCACCTTTTTAAATGTGCAAACGTTACAATGGCGTGTTATGTGATGCGAACATGATTTCTGTAGATATGATACAATAATGATTGAAAGTGCACTTGAACTGTAGTTTAATTAATAAATGGCACTTGAAGGAAAACCTTAAGTACTTCTTTTGTCCTGTGCAAGGAATGGGCTCAACTAAGCCAGGAAAAGTTTAAGTACGATGGTTGAGAGAAAAACAACATGATTTCTGTGTATTGAATTTGCACGTGAGCTGATTTTTTTGAAAGTCTCTGCCATCATATTGAAAGTACAAAGAGGAAAACCTTGAAAGCTTCGGTCACAAATACCATTACGAACTGCTACGAACACCGTAAGAACGACTTTTAGACCATTTTGTAAGATCTTCTTAAGAAGGCTGTACGAAACAAGCTTTTTTAGACCGTTCGTAGACTGTTCGTAAGTACGCAGACTGGTCAATGGTCTTGTCCAAGGTTTTTTTCAATTTCGTACGAAACCCTCTCTTCGTAAGGTGGCTCTACTAGAAAAGGCGGAATGGGTAAAACTCTTCAGAGAGATGGAGAGCTTGGATGAAGTATCCTTACAGAGATGCTTAACACCACCCAATGCATTGGGTCGACTGACATTATGTGTCTTTTGTGACGGATCTGAAGAGGCATTTGGAGCGTGTGTCTACATTCGCTGGGAACTAGAGGATGGCAGCTATAATGTGAGATTTGAGTGAGAGTAGTGCCGCTAAAAAGGTTGACGTTGCCGAGATTGGAGCTCCAGGCTGCACTGGTTGCTGTAAGACTCGATGCAACCATCAGAGAAGAGACCACTCTATACATGTAGTTGAGAGAGACAGTGTTCATGACATATAGCATGTGACATTTATGAAGCCATGATAAAGAATCATGCTCAGCTTTAACTTGTTTGTTTGTTTGGGCCAAACAATATTTCAAATGTCACAATAAATCATAGCTGAATCAATTTGACACCAACAACAAAACTTGATGAATCAAAAAATTAAAACAAATGCAATACAAACTTTGTTAATGTTGACTTTAAAATGCAAAAGACTTGATTACCTCATACTGATTATTGGCAAACTTATTCTTTCACTTTAATGTTTGGCACAGAATATTTGCCAATGCAAACATCGTTTAGATTACACAAATGTGATAAGTACTTAGACAAATAAGCTAAATATCCACTGATATGGGCCACAGAATACACATTAGCATTGATATGGAGACTTGTTGAGTATGCCCGCTACATGCAGAAACATACTTTTCATACGATGCATTTTAAGATTTTGTTTTTTTCTCAACAATGATTTCACTCTAGCTTGGGATTATTCTTCAGGATATTGTATTTGGTAGATAAAAATGAATTCTGCTTTGACACTCCTAAAGTTATTGCTTCATGTAAAACAGGGCATTTAGCATGCTGACCAAGAACTATGAAATGAAAGCCCATCTAAGCATGTACATGCGATGTAGAAACAATCACACAATTAAAAACTGTGCCAAAAACATATCTGTCACATTGAATGATATAATATTACTACACACCAATGTCTTCTTGCAGATGTTCCTGCTTGTGTCGCCTTTTGCAGAGTATCAAGACCTTTTTAAAAAGGTACAATGTGCTACAGCAGAACTACACTATTATAATTGGTATCAAACACTGCTTTAAAGATACTATGTCCCTTTTGCAGCCAACATCAAATTCTGTAGAACTTTGCAGGAATTATGAATATGTCATGTATGTCCTATCTGTGAAATTTAAACGTTAGCAGTGTCCTAATATTCAAATTATGCAATGAAACCCGTTTACTTGCTAGACTTCGTTGTCAGACACTATTGAGCGATTGACTGGCTTTTTTCTTCTTTGGTAATAACATACATAAAATGAGCTGTAAAGGGTACATGAGCATTTGTCTACATCAATAACCCACTTCTTGTAATGGCCAAAATTAAACTGATTGAATCTTTGCGCAGCATAAAACTACAACCATTCAGTACAATTGTCTGAAAATCAGACTATTACTTACTGGCTCTATAGCTCTTAAGTCGATTCAACAACTAATAGTCGTCATTTCCCCACTTAAAGACATTTTCAAACCCCCCTTTTTTTAGGGAAGTTCTGAATTAGTATTATCTTTCAAATGCCGTTGGAATTTAGCCTTTTCATTTTTTAGGCCTGCAAATGGGACATAGTACCTTTAAAACATGATATTCAGAGGGATACTGGAAATAAAATAAATTTTGCATATATCACATTCCTCAAGCAAAACTGACTTTATCATAAATTACTCTAATGTTATCATCTGTGTATGAATCTGACGATTCAAAGTTGTGGTTCACCGATAAATTAAGAATGAGGAACCATTACTGGCAAACACAAGAGGGAGCTCTTCTATACAAAACTAATATAGACATGGGCCCGTGCATGGCAGTAAGACCAAATGGTACTTCATGCAAATTTATCACAATGTTTACATAGGACTTCAATTGCAAAACAGTGTGATGGCTACATGGGAAGGAGTGAATGGGCTCTATTGCTTGCATGTGGATCATACAAGTTTGATACACATTACTTGTAGGTCAAAATCAACAATAATTTTGCTTGTCACATCACAAAGAAATAATTTGAATTCTTTAATCAAATTTGCTGTCTCCTGGTACAAAATTGAAAATGAAGAACCATTTAGGTATCAAAAACATTTGGTTCCTGTTGTAAGCCCCAAGGAAATGGGAGAATTTAGTAGTCAACGGGTAAAGATTTCACTTCGAAAAAGTACATCAGTCATTTGGCAAACTCCTTTCATGAAGGAAAAATAAGGCATATACAGTAAGCTTTCATTCTAGTGGAAATAGAGATGCTACATGATTGGTGCTATATGCACATGCTTAATACTGCCATTAAATCTCCACTTTCATGATTTCAAAAACAGGTGACAAATTCCTTTCTTTCTTTCATCATCTCATCCTCATGACCTCTTCATTGGCAATCTTAATAATAGTCCTGAAATCTGCCTCGACATGGTTCCTCCAGAATCGTCGATCCCGTCCCCAGACCATGGCCGGGTAGCACGGGCTCGCTATCCCCTGCAAGATGCGGGCAACGGCACGGCCAGTGAATGTCCGATCATGGTTGACGCTCATGAACTGGCGTATGGTCATGCGGATACGCCCCTCCTCAGAGGCAGCATTCTGTGTAGAGAACAAACAGAAATTAAGCTAGTTTTATGAAAGTCCAAGATTTTATTTCTTTTATTTATTTTTTTAAAAATTTATTTATTTATTTTTTATTTTATTTTATTTTATTTTATTTTATTCATTTATTTTTTAAATTTTTATTTATTTATTTATTTATTTATTTATTTATTTTTTTTTTTTTTTGGGGGGGGGGGGGGGTCATGGGGAAACGCTCCTCTTCAGAAGCAGCATTCTGTGTATAGTGAACGAACAGAAATTAAGCTACTTTTAGGAAAATCTGAGATTTTTTTTGGGGGGGGGGGGAGGGGGGTGGGAGGGGGGAAGTGAAGGGGGTCAATCCAATAATTTGTTATCTACTATGTAGGACTTTGGGGCAAAATGGGATCATAATATTATCAATCATGAAATTTTACTGAATTGGAGAGATTATGTTTGGGAAACAGGCCTACATTTTACAATTATCTCAACATGGTCATGTATCCATTCTTAACTATTTTGTTAACAAATAATGTATATCACTCCTATATCATTATCGGTGTAAGTGATCACTTTTATGAATGGTTCACTGTGTCTGATACAAAATATGAAACAATGGATAGAGAGCTAGCATTTGTAAAGCACAGATTCAAAATAGTTATTTCTAAAGTCTAGTGTAATTTAAACATATCATCTTGATGTTCTTCATGAATATTGTGACTTTTGGTATGTTATTATTTTTTTTTCTTTCTTTAATTTCCAGGCTTATGTATTTAAATGACAACACAAAGCATATGACATGAAAGAGTTAAAAAGACAGTGAAAATGCCACCAGCGGACACCCGAGGATTACCTAAAAGAATTTCCATTCTGTCATGAGGTTCTCCACGTCCGCTGGTGTTACATGTGAATAGATTTTTAAAGATTCAAGTACATCCATAAAGCATAATTACTTATAACTTAGGGGTCAAAACCACAAAGAATCCTTGTACGCAATCTTGTACTGGAGGCTCCCACCCTATCTGTTAGCATAAATACACAAGAATACTTAGAGAGCTGATAAGTGAGGTACAAGTAACTGTTTCAAAACTTACCTTGGAGGCGTCATCTTGTCTGCGCTTCATCTTTGATAGGTCCAGCTCCTCTGTGAAGTACTTGATGAGCTCCCCTCGGAGGTGATCACTACGCTCTATGTCTACCTCGTCGCAACAATCCATCCAGGACTTCTTGGAGACGCTGTAAAGAAATGGAAATTGTTACTCATTACCTTCTAGGAATCCAACAAACAGCTAACAGATGTGACCTCTCAGATGTTGAAGGAAACCAACATTTTTGAGAATCTGAGTGAGGAGAAGGTTCTTTGGATGGTATTTAAACCAGTAGTCATTCAGGGATATGTTATAACTTGAGAGGGTAAAGGTGCAAGAGGAGTCGTTTCGATTACAAGTTTTGCCCTGGAGTTAGTCTGAAAGTTGATGTGAAATTCATTAATAATATATTATGGTTTTGTCTATATCAGCTAATAATACTATAATAAATGTAAATCAGTTCCAACAGACAGAAATCTACTTACTTGTGCAATATCTACGCTGTAACTTTCAAGAAGCACTGTCTTGTAAACTGTGTATTTAGCATTTTGATACTGGCTACAATGAGGTGAAAGTTACTGTGAAGTTCAAGTTAAGCCCTTAGATCATCATTATCATCATAATTTATGAAAGTCAGCATTTTCCCTCTTACGAAGGGTTACCAACTGTTGCGGCATGATGACACTAGCTCTCTCCACTTCTTTATGTCTCAAGCATCCTTTCTTCATTTAGACCAACCTTACTGCTTTCTTTCTTCACCATATCTTTCCATGGAATCTTCAGTCTTCCTTTCCCTCTTTTGCCACCCACTTCCAGATCCAGATAATCAAAGAAATTATAACTCTGACAAGTTTACCACTAAAACTAAAAGCCCCACTGCACTGCTTATAGCTACTTGCGCCCTCTATACAGTAAACAATGCCTAATCGGTGCCTGTTGGTCCCCCATGATCCTCTTTTAATTGAGAGCTGATTTGATGAGATTACCACCTGTCAGTGACCTTGCAGGGAGGTCTAATCCCCCTGGCCAAACTAGTGCAGATGGGCTTTAATGTTACCTTTCTAGGGTGGAGTAGATAGCATCGAGTTGTCCCAGCTCTCTCTGCTCTAGGTTCATCACCCTCCCATGCAGAAAGTCTACTACACCATCCAGCTCCTCATCACTCAGGTTGCCACGGCAATGGAAAGAGAAGGCCAGTTCAGAAAACTCCACCATCACACCAGTCCTCACCCAACCTGTATCAGAAAAGCAAGAGGGGATGGAATATTGACTGCCATCCTGGAGTTTCCTTGGATCTACTTAAACCTCACACAGAGAATCTGAACATAATGTTATTATCTTGGTGAGTTTTGTTTTCTTCCACTGTAATCTTGATAAAGAGCAGTTAAAGGACATGTACAAGTGAGACTATTTGGTAAAAAAGTATGATTTAATGGAACAAAATAAAAAGCGAAGAGCAATCATAAAAAGCAGATCACATTTGAAGTTTATACCTATGCTTTTAGTGATTCATGCAACAATTTTAGAGGGCCCTCAACATAAGTAAGAGCATTGTTCTGGAGACGTATTGTGGATATTCATCAAGATTAAGGGAAAGTTCACGGCAAATACATACAATCCCATACCTTTTATTTTGTCATGCTTCCACTGGAGCCTTCTAAGCTCTCTCTTCACCGGCGTAAGTTCCCATCCCATGGCGCTCGCCAGCTCCACGACATCAAACTCCAGCGTCGTCCTGCCTGTATCCTTGGAACCTTTCTTTCCGTTGATCCGTTCCCTGGCGAGGGCTGCGGCTATGGCAGGACTCTTGATAGCGCACTCTCGCAGCTCTCGCGGGCCTCCGTAAAAGTTGAGCTCGCATTTGGTGTAGGTGTGTGGGTGTGTGACCAGCCAGCGGTCTGGGTGCAGCTCAAGGTAGCACATCAGGGTTGCAATACCTAGGGTTTGGGGAATAAAAATTGGAAACGTCAGAAACTGTATAATGTCTATATACCTTTAGGCAAAGGGTGTTTCAATAGATTTAAGAACGGAATAGAATAGATAAAATACCAAAACTAACACTTTCCCTCATTCCAATATAAAATCAAAAGATATCTACCCTTAGGAAAAGGGTGTTTTGATAACATTCAGAATAGAATAGATTAGATGAAATACCGAAAATAAAACACTTCTTCTCATTCCTATACAAAGCTAACACTTTTCCTCAGTCCTGTATAAAATGAAAAGAGAATTGGATAGACAGACAGAGCTAGGGAGAGACAGTGACAACAATTAAGACAATCATGGACAATCTCTACTAATTCATCTGAAGAGAGTTATAAAAACCTGGAGAAAAACCATGGGAAGGATAGTACACAAAGAAGGTGATTAATCAAGATTTACCTTTACACTCTCACTCTAAATTATACACATGACTTTTTACACAGTAGCTAACAACTTCAAGTCCTGTTTCTCTCCATCCCGGTTTTAAATGGGTAACCAGTAGGATGTTGGTCAAACAGTTTTTGAGCGTCAAGTAACGCCTGGCTGGAATGCTCCGCAGAGAGTGGAGATTGTGCACACAATGTGTGCGGGCAAGTATTGAATCTAGTGACCGGGGTAATAGTATATCTGTAAAGTGCTTAGAGACATCACAGATGTATTAAGCGCTATATAAAAGCAGAATATTATTATTATTATTTTTCTTTCCAGTGTCTCCAAATGAAGAGGAAGAGGAGAGTGACAAGAAAGAACGATGCGAAAAGAAATCAGTACCTTCTTCTTTGATATCCAGATCCTGTACTGTAGTCTCAACAGGAAAAGAACATGCATGACCTGGACAAATACTGTGAGATGGCTTGTGTTCATCATTCTCTCCTGCATTGGCCTGCAATAAAAACAAAAACATTGTGGAGTCAAGGGGAAAGACAGTCAGCTACTTATGTCCTTTGGCAAGGCATTAATCTACATTTGCCACACTCGACCCAGATGAGGTAAATGAGTACCTGGCAGAAATTAGTTTCTTGAAATGCTAGAGCGCTGTAATGGCAGCTAGGCTAAAGCCAGGTTAATAATTAGTTTGTGCGTCTCGGAATAGAATTGTCTAGATAGACTGCGCTATATAAATGTCCATTATAATTATTTATTTTAATTCAAATATACAATAATTCATTATACGTTAAATACAATAATTTGTTAAATAAACAATTATGTATCCTATATATAATAAATGCATAATAATTGTTGTGCTGAAATTTAAAAAAAAAATGAAATGAGAGATACATTGCATAATAGTCATATAAAATAACACATTTGTAACTGATCATCATGGATATTAATATGTTGATAAGAGCAACGCTCTTTGATAAGCTAGATAAGTTAGCATACCAGTAGGCATGAATGAGGCAAAAGTTGTGATCTTCAGTTTTGACATAGAGGCCCACTGGTCGTTTTTATGCAAAGAGTAGGTTTCTTGATATATTCCAGATGATATAAACCCCTTACACACTAAATTTGTCTGATGTAAGCCAGATGGGCTCATATTATATCATTCTTCACAGAATTTTGAATTAATTCAAATACCCTTAAGACTCTCAGCTGACGGACTATATTCTTTAGTACCACTATGAACCTAAGTATCAACACTGCACTCAGAACTCATTAAAACAAATGTAGTAGTTATTCATTAAAGCCATCACTACTGGTAATCCCAGAATATGAAAGCCATCATCATTTATTATCACTAACCAACAATGAATCATTACAGTTTAGACCTCACTATTTCCATAATGCAGACATACCTCTTTTAGTTTGTGGATCTGGTTGCATTTGCAAGGTCTGAAGATCCTCTTGACTAGCTTCTTGACGGTGAACCGGTCCACCGAGTTCCCAAAGGTGTGTCTCTTCAGCTCCCAAACATCACTTCCCTGCAGGAGAAACAAAAACAAACTACAAATCCTAAGCAACATCTGGAAATAACAGTGTCTTCACAGGGACTTATGAATGGTCTGCCTTAGGACAGTAGAGGTGTCTTGGTCACGTGGTTTAAGTACTTCACTTGAAATGCAAAGGTCGTGGGTTTGATCCCGGCACAGCACTTATCATAATGTCTTTTGGCAAGGCATTGATCTACATTTACCACTCCATACCCAGGAGAGAAATGGGACCTGGAAGGATGACAAAAGCCTTTGTGTTAGTAATTACCATATGCCCTCACGGTGAACATTCGGTGGGAATACTGCCCAGGGAGTAGAGATGGTGCAAATTGTGCATGAATGAATCTGATGACCAGGGTAATAATATCTAAAAACCACTTAGCGACCGTGTTTCATATTAAATGCTATGTAAATCCAGATTATTATTATTATTAATATTAGACAGCATGATTGAAATTGACATTGATTATGATGTGGGAACTCTACATTAGTGACTGATCAACACAAAGGGAACAAGAAAAAAGTTGGCATTTGTTGCATCATCAATTTAGCAAAAACTTTTCCAATGGTTTAATCAGCAGAGTTTTCTTTACCCAATAAGATGTCAAATTGCATTAGAAGTTCAACAAAATACATTTACATTTATTTAATAAGGAAGATTCTTTTAGAACACATAATAGTACATTTATCCTTATATCACACACATCTCTTTACGGTCTCTATGTCATAACCTGGGAAAGTTTTGAGTTCAATCAGTGAAGACAAAACAAACCTCATGAAAGAATTTCCTTCATGATTTCTGCCTATAAACTTTACTCACCGTCTTATCAAGGAAGATATGACAATGCGCCGGCAACCCATCTCTCCCTGCTCGCCCGATCTCCTGTACGAAGCTCTCAAAGGTCCTTGGTAGATTGAAATGGATGACGGATCTCACGTCGGCCTTGTCAAGCCCCATACCAAACGCTACCGTGGCAACGACAACGCGCAGGTTACCCGACATGAATTGGTTCTGAACTCTCCTGCGCTCTGCAGGAGATTTGCCAGCGTGGTAGGCCTCACAGCTATTAGCTTCAAGTTTTACTGAATGACAAAAATCAAAATAATAAGTAGAAGGCATTGTCCCAGCAACTTATTTTTTATTTATTCAGGACATCAGATCTAGGTCTATTCTAACATGGATTTCCTTTAACCCATTCCAAAAAAAAAGTAGGCTTTCCAAAAAAGTCTAAAAAAATGGACCGTTTCATGCAATTCTAGATGGTCTAAAATATTAATTTTTCACTCAAATAGAACCAAATTTCTTGGGTAACAGAAAATAATGGTCCTTACCTTTGTCGTTATAGAACAATGTTCTTGCAAGTATCCAGCAAAGGTTCGTCGATTGCCACACCTTGATCTGTACAAGGTTTGTCGATTGCCACACTTTATTCTTACCAACGTTCGTCGATCGCTGCACTTTACTTTGACCAAGGTTCGTCGATTGCCACACCTTGATCTATCCAAGGTTTGTCGATCGCCATGCACACTTAACTCTTTCCCAGGTTTGTCGATCGCCGCACTTTACTTTGACCAAAGTTCGTCGATTGCCACACCTTGATCTATCCAAGGTTTGTCGATCGCCACACTTAACTCTTTCCAAGGTTTGTCGATCGCCGCACTTTACTTTGACCAAGGTTCGTCGATTGCCACACCTTGATCTGTCCAAGGTTTGTCGATCGCCACACTTTATTCTGACCAAGGTTTTTCGATAGCCACACTCTACTCTTACCAAGGTTCGTCGATCGCCACACTTTACTCTTACCAAGGTTCGTCGATTGCCACGTAACCTTGATCTGTCCAAGGTTTGTCGATCGCCACACTTTACTCTGTCCAAGGTTCGTCGATTGCCACACCTTGATCTGTCCAAGGTTTGTCGATCGCCACACTTTACTCTGTCCAAGGTTCGTCGATTGCCACACCTTGATATGTCCAAGGTTTGTCGATCGCCACACTTTATTCTTACCAAGGTTCGTCGATCGCCGCACTTTACTTTGACCAAGGTTCGTCGATTGCCACACCTTGATCTATCCAAGGTTTGTCGATCGCCACACTTTATTCTTACCAAGGTTCGTCGATCGCCACACTCTACTCTTGCCAAGCTGTACCAAAATTTGAAAAAGTTGTCTCAAATTTTCTGTAAACAATTTTGTAACTTCCGAAACAACTTTGAATTTAAAGTAGCAGAAAATATATGAACTGCAGGACATATCTATCCTAACATTTTGTTAACATCACATGGCAGCTACCCACCAAAACAAAAAATTTGCAATACATTATTACAATACTATTTTATGGTTAAAACCAATTTTCCGTAAACAGTTGCAATGTCCAAAGCAAATAAACCCAATTAAATGATGATAATCCATATTTAAGGGTATCTAGAGTGAATAAATTGTTTTGAAATAAGTTATTATAAGTCTTAACACAAGTCAAATCACAAATCAGGCCTTTCAAATCAAATAATTTTTTGTAATCACAAGAAGGGTGTTTCTGATGTTACACAATGGTGGTTGCACAAATTCTTGGTGATCAGCAGTGTCTGATTCATTGAATGAATATTCATCCACATGATGAGTGAAGAGATCGCCATGTTGTTTTCTAGCGCCAACTTGATGATTTTCAGAAGATACATCATCAAGACTCAATTGTGATATATCCATACCATCAATAGACAAATCGTCCTGACTGAGTGAAGTCGAGGGAGCAAATTTTTGCTTTTTCTTGGGAGTACTTGCAGCAATACATACTGGTGCTTCTGCTAGGTCTACATCATGCAGACTTAGTTGCAATATATCTTGTAGTAACTCTGAGTCTGAGTCAGACTCATAAATACTGCCTGAATGAAAATCCATGTCATCGATAGACAGATCATGAATATGATTAATCCCTGCTGCTGTAGCCATGTTAGAGTCTTAGACTTGTTATATCTGACAATATAATGATTATTTTCAATCATGATATGATTGATTGATATTCACAGAGATTAGTTTGTATAGTTTTTTAATGCAGTGAATGACTCCTGTCAGTAGGCCTATAATGTAGACTTACTGCTTACTACATGCTCTACGGAAAATACTTCCACTATCCACCTCCCTGCGAGTGAGTGGATGTATGTAAATCCTGTGGCAGGGGCATTATGACATTACGAACCCCACCACTATAGCACAGCAGTCAATGTAATCTACCCCAGTTTTGTTTCTCTCGTTAAAACTTTGAGAGAGCTACTACTATTACACAGGCATCAATGGGAATCTGATGGGGTCTCACTACCCCACTTTCAATTCTCTCCTTAAACAATTGAGTGAGAGATTAAGATATTGCATTGCAGCTGGACTCTTCATCATCTTACGTAATACTAGTGTAAACAAACTCTTACTGGGGTCTGCCTGAAAGGAAATGAGAAGTAGGAAATAAGTATTTTACTTGTTTTAAGATATTTTCATGTCCTGAAGTCACTAATAATTTAGATGAAGACCAAAATGAAAGTTCGAACGAAGCAAAATGACCCATAATTGGCAATATAACAACAATTTTAACTCTGGCAGCGAACCCCTGCATGTGTCTTTCTCCCTTCTCCCTTCCTTTCCCCTTGTATCATGCTTATCTCTCTCTCGCTATCACCTCATCAAGGTCTCGGTGGGGGTGGATTACAGCGCTATAGTGTTTACTTAGGGCTTATCACAATCTCAGCTCTAGTACAAGTAGAAATGTCAAATCGGGGTTTGAATTTTAAACGACGAGTTTTTGTCATGACAGATAAACTTTGTTATGTTTATTGTCAAGGGTTTGGAGTTATACAATAATAAATCCATGTTTTGAGGAGGGAACTTTGTAGGTTTGTTTGTTCATAGACTTAAAACATATGTTGTAAGTCTATGGTTTGATAAATAGAGGTCAAGGAATTTAGGAAATGTTAGTTTTGAGCTCACTCTTATTTCCACCTACCATTTGAAATCAATTCATGAATGAAATTATATGCTCTTCCAAAGAATAGAATTACAGCTTTTCTAAATCTAAATAAAAAAAAATGTATCAATTTGAAATAAGAACCTGCAGACTGTGAATGTGCATTTCCATTAATTGAGACTTTTTTTATAAATAAAATACATGATTTATGCAGAAGCAAGCAAATCAGAAATATCAAGTATAGTCACGAAATCCTAATTAAAATTTAAGCTCGAGGCCTCAAAATAAAATGAACCTTGAACCTTGAACCTTGAATATGAAGAAGCAAGGATAGACTTTATTAAGAGTATTTATTATCTCCAAACTTTGGAGACTCGAATCGGTCACATCATACGAACTTCCACATATGTAAAACACAAGATGAAGAGAGAGCCAGCTAGAAAGAGGGCCTTGATCCAATGGTGATCAAAACTGAACTCCTCTCTACAAAGCCAGAACCTCTCATAATTTATACAGAAGGATACAAAATGGATATGAGGGTAGGTTACATTGTGTCAAAGGGACAAAGACAAGTTCCCTCTCACAGTCATTTAGCTAACACATGTAATCTGTTCTGGGAAAGGGGGTTTTGGTTATTGGGAGAAAGACAGGAAGTCTTTTGTTTTGGAGGTTTGGGGGCTCTTATCGAGTGTATACAATTTGGGGTTTATTTGGCTAGAATAAGTGATTATATAAACAAATGTCTTGGAAGGAGGTCTGGTATTTCGCAGGGTGGGTCTTATCTGTATATAGGGGCATATACTGAGTGATATTACATATTATTACCAAGGAGTGTAGACTTGTACTACCATTACATAACAATATAAAGGAATTGGTGTGCACCTAAACTTGGACTACAATTTAAAAAGGATACATCATTCTGGATAATCACCATTCGTTCATCATTTTTTTCCTGGGCCTTGATAACTGCATAAATAAGGTGAGAATACTTCTTCTAAGGTATTGATATTTGCTCACTCAATGCAATTAAAGTATATAGATTATTATTAATGCATGCCATATTTCAGCATGAATATTTGTGTTTAACATCTATAATGTACAATAGCCTATTATATGTGTGTCATAAGTGTTATAAATGATTTAAAGATGTATGTGCTCCATTGTTATGATTGTAATTTTGCAAATAACCTTGTATGTAGATAACATGATCGAAACTAAAAAGGTACAAAAAGTTTGAAGTTGAAGACTATTAGGCCAAATAGGAATTATTCATGAATCAGTTCCACAAAAAGTATGATGATGCGCCCAGCACCAATTCTGCTTGCATCAGAAAGAAAGGGGGAAAAAAAATTGTTATTGTCTTGGTTTGTAGAATAATCTCATTTTGCATATCATTCTTGACATGTTTGAACTAGTTTATATAAAATTACTAACCAATAAGTTTTTTTCCATTGCAGCTTCACCTGAGGAATGGAAAAACTGTTGTCCAAGGAGACTGGGTGGCTGTGTTTTATTCAGGCAGCAGATTTCCCCCATTGGACAAGTTTCGCACCTGGACAATGTAAATGGTATTGCCTCTTTCCGATTTCTGAAAGGGCGGATCAGGCTTTCCAAGACAGATGTTCAGGACGTGGAGGATCAGTTTATCATTTGCACCCTTCGTGTACAGTACGTGCATGAAAAGGATGAATTTTTTACACACCCTCTTATAAAGGACAAAGTAGAAATTGCTAAACAAATGTATAGTGAATTTCATATGTGACTCCCTTTCCTCAAACCCACATAAAGTGGCCAGATATATGTGCTATGAGCCAAAATGTGTGAATTGTAGTAGGCTTGTTGCATTTTGAGGTACGATGATTACTAAGGACACATATTCCTTGGATCAAAAGAAAAAAAATTCATCCAAACTCTGTATCTATGCAAATTAGGTCTAACTTCCATAATTTATGCAAATTTATTCTTTGTAATAGGATATTCCATTACAATGGGTTCTTTATTGACACATTTAAAAGAGAACATATTTTTTGGATCAAAAGATTTGTTTTGTTAAGCTCTGTTTATATGCAAATTAGGCCTAATTTGCATAATTTATTCAAATGTATCAAAGGCATCGTTTAACAATGTTAAATCTGAGATGCACGGCCCTACGTGTTATCAGTGTCTGTGATATTGTGTAATATTGAAGCCCTAAAAAAAAATCGCGCTTCAAAATGATCAAGAAGTGCCTCAAAAAAGTTTTTAAAAATCAGTGACCGGTTTTACCATACCTGTTTTCCCCAACAGACTGTAGTGTTATTTTCAAATCATAAATATCTTAATAATCAGACAGGCGATCGGCTTCATGGGGTTCCTGACTTACCTAAAGGTTTATAATTATCATTGCAGCATGAGCTAACTCCAGGATTTTGTTTCAGAATCTAAAACAAAGTTACCGGATCCCTTTAATGGAAATGGAAAATCTATTACAATGGTGTTTTTATCAAGATATTGGAATTTACATGTTCCTTGGATCAAAAGAAGAAAATTCAGCCAGAGACACTCTGTATGTATGCAAATAGGCAAATTAGGCTTTATTTTGTGAGATAATGAGAAACTGAGTGTAAGACTTGAAAATGTCTACAATTTTAATGACAGACATCAAATGCATAATTTTGTATGAAAAATGGTTGAAACCAATGCTTTTTAGAGAGCACCCTCTTTTGTTTGAATGGGTCTTTTTGAAATAATGATGGGCCTTTTACGAAGTCACTATTTTCTTTACCTTTCGAGTTTGGTGGTGTTGAACTTATTTGTTTGTAATGTTATTGTGCATGTTTTGGATACTATAGCTCGGCCTTGCCAAAACTATACCACCCCTTTAATGTGATCAGTGTAAAGGCATATCTTTTCAATGCTACACATTGATGATTTAGGGAGTAGAGAGAAATTAATGAACAGATGGATTTGTGATGTAACCAGTTGATTTTTCAACAAAATTAATATGTCGAACAGATAGGGTGCCCTTTCCAATGAAAACGATACCAAGAATAGTCCTTTTGGTCGTGTAGTTTTGCATTAGTGCTCTTAGAGTGACACCATGTCAGGTTCCCTTTTTTTGTCAATTTTTACCAAGTCAGTGCGCCTTAGCGTCGAACAATGAGCAATACGTATGCCATTGTTAGTGTGCATTCAGCTGTGTGCCAATAATGGGCATAGTTGCTCGATGATATGATGACAGGAACTGCGATTTATCAGGAAGTGACTTGGTAAAAATGGCAAAAGTGGGAACCTGACATGGTCTTACTTAAGACGTCCTACAACAAAAACTACTCGTCCAAAATTACTGTTCTTGGTATCATTTCTCATCTGAACGGACATTCTATCCGGTGGACACAATCATTTTGTTACTTTATTTTGGAAAGTACCCCATTGCATTGTTGTTGTTGTTGTTGTTGTTGATTTTTTTTTGGGGGGGGGGGCTCCCTGTTTATACTTAAACCGTTGTTATCAGAGCTAGTTTAAAAGTTGTTTCAAAGTAATTTGTAATGAGTGTAACAATGACAATTTTGTTTTCCTTCTATTTTTTTTTATATATATAGATAATGTTTAAATATCTGCATTATTGAAATGATCTTTGAATTTATCAATTATTTCTATAACTAGAATATTCATGTTCCTATGATAATATTTTGAAATACATAAGTCTTCCATATGTATTCATTTAATTCAAATAGTAATACAGACCTTTCACTCTGTAATAACAAGCATTTTCACTTTCTTAAACCCATGTTACATTAACCCATTTATGAGTGGTCCCCAAAATGTCCTAAACAGGGGAACATGGACTGCAATTGATTACCAGCACTTGCAAGAGTAATAATAAAGTGAATATCATATATATATTTTGAATAAAAACTACTATGTTGTTTCAAAGATTTGATTATGATTGATATACATTGTTCTGTATGAGATAAGTGTGACATTCAACAAACCTTAGACAGATCAAGGTATGGCAATTGTATACCTCTGAAAGAGTAAAGTGTGGCGATCGACGAACCTTGGTAACAATATGGTGTGGAGATCGACGAACCTTTGAAAGAGTAAAGTGTGGCAATCGACGAACCTTAGTAAGAGTATGGTGTGGCGATCGACAAACATTGGAAAGAGTAAAGTGTGGCGATCGACGAACCTTAGTAAGAGTATGGTGTGGGGATCGACAAACATTGGAAAGAGTAAAGTGTGGCGATCGACGAACCTTAGTAAGAGTAAAGTGTGGCAATCGATAAACCTTTGACAGATCAAGGTGTGGCAATCGACAAACCATGGACAGATCAAGGTGTGGCAATCGACAAACCTTGGACAGATCAAGGTGGTGCAATCGACAAACCTTGGAAAGAGTAAAGTGTGGCAAACGACGAACGTTGGTAATAATAAAGTGTGGCGATCGACGAACCTTGGTAATAATAAAGTGTGGCGATTGACGAACCTTGGAAAGAGTAAAGTGTGGCGATCGATGAGCCGTGGAAAGAGTAAAGTGCGGCGATCGACAAACCTTGGAAAGCTTAAAGTGTGGCGATCAACGAACCTTGGTCAAAGTAAAGTGCGGCGATCGACAAACCTTGGAATGAGTAAAGTGTGGCGATCGACGAACCTTGGTCAAAGTAAAGTGTGGCGATCGAAAAACCTTGGACAGATCAAGGTGTGGCAATCGACGAACCTTGGTCAAAGTAAAGTGTGGCGATTGACAAACCTTGGACAGATCAAGGTGTGGCAATCGACGAACCTTGGTCAAAGTAAAGTGCGGCGATCGACGAACGTTGGTAAGAATAAAGTGTGGCAATCGACAAACCTTGTACAGATCAAGGTGTGACAATTGACGAACCTTTGCTGGATACATGCAAGAAAATTGTTCTATAACGACAAAGGTAAGGACCATTATTTCCTGTTACCCAAGAAATTTGGTTCTATTTGAGTGAAAAATTAATATTTTAGACCATCATGAATTACATGAAACGGTCCATTTTTTTAGACTTTTTTGGAAAGTCTACTTTTTTTTTGGAATGGGTTCTTTCCTTATAACTATCTACACTAAATCAAATTTCTTCGACTCCACAAATATCAACCTTTCTGGTCCTTCATAGAAATATTCAGTGAAGAGAAAGCATTCATGCACCCAAAATGTAACTTTTTTTTCTCCAGAAAATCTTGTGTATCATCAGAATTCAACCAATATCAAGTTCATAAATATGTATCATATTTTATCAGAACTTGTACCTTTATCCACTGGCTTACCAGTCTGAAAATAGAATTTACTTGGTAATAAAATGGAACTTTCCAAACGGACTCAAAGACATTGGAGCTGTTATCATGGCAGGGATGTCTACCCATGACCAGATGTACATGCCATACAAAAGATGAATACTTACCAGGTTTTTTGTTCTTCTTTCCTCTCATTTTCTTCTGGTAGCTGCTCTTCTTGGTCTCCTTTGTCTTGCTTGTCTTCTTCTCCTCCTGACCATCCTCTCCAGTTTCCATCTTCTCTCCCTTGTCATCGTTGTCATCATCATCATCGTCGTCAGAGTCAAGAGGCTCAGTCTGCAGGCACGTCCTGATGAGAGAGGCGACCCTCTCCGTCTCCTCTCGTCTGATGCAGTACACTATGATCGACTTCAGCTTGCGGAACCTCTCCCCCTTCAGCAGTTCGATCAAAGCCTACACGTAGTCAAGAGAATTGATGTTATGATTACTTGATCAAAAAGAAGTTTGAATTTTTTCTTCTCATAAACATTGATATCAAGATACATACACTAAACATTTTCCAAATTCAGAATAATAACAATAATAATAGTTCAGTTCTCGTATAGCGCATAATACGTTATGAAATAACATCTCTATGCACTTCCAAAGAGCTTTGGACTTTATTACCCTAGTTTTAGCTCCGGTATCCTTATCAGCGCACAGTGCATTTCAAGGAATAATCCTACCAGGTACTCATTTACCTCAAATCTAGATCAATGTCTTGCCAAAGGACATTAGTGCCGCGGCGGGACTCGAACCGCGGACCTTGTGATCGACAGTCCGGTGACGTATCCACTCAGTATCCACACAGAATAACATATATATCCATTACTATACGAGATGGCACAATTATTTTTATTGGAATGTTGAATGTTGTTTTAAAACTTCACAATAAAAACCAATCACTCAAAAAATGCTCAAAAAGATATTTTGTATATTTTCTGAATAAGAAATACCAACGCAGAATACATCAACTTCCACATTGTTTGTTTGACGATTTGGCATACTCTTCATCAAATGAAAAAATAAAAATGAAAGATATATTACAATATTTACCCTTTCTCTGTCTAGATCCTTGGAGGCAGACAGCTGCAGGTTGCTGGGCACCGAGCATCCCCTGATGACCGCTCCTGGTTGGTCAGCTATGCCCAAGTGGTGGGCCACACTGTCAGAGGTGGTCTTAGTGGCTGTAGCGGTCAACGCCAAGATGCAGTGGACACCAAGTCTCTCCTTCAAAACCTACCATTTTAGATTGAAACAAATAATGTACAAATGAAGTGGTGAACATGTTTCGACTGTGAGGTGGTATAAAGAAATGGAAAGCACTTCTCATATGAATGGAGTGTGAAAGGAAATCTGTGTCACCACTTTACCACATGTACTCGAAGAATAAGACACCCAGGGCCCCATTTCACAAAACTTGTCATCAGTGACAAATGACAGTTCTTGTTATAAGCTACTGAAATCCTTGCTTCTGATTGGTTATCAGCAGATTTGCCACTGATTGTTGTCATTTGTCATCGAAAAAAATGCTTTGTGAAACGGGTCCCAGGTTTTCCTCACAAGGAGATGCGAGTTGGTTTAGCAGTACGTTTACTTGGTCGGTTCTCTGTCTTCGCCTACAACTGGCTCAGGCGGACCTCAGTTCAAAACTGAGTCAAACCTTTCGGATAGTGACGTTAAAAGTCGGTTTCCAGACACAAATAATCATATCTGATTGATAAATGTCTGTAAAAACCTAATTGCACATCATACACAGACACACACACACGTCTTCTACCTCTAATATTTCTTATCATGTCGAACAGAAACTGCAAAAAAAGCTTGAATACACTTCAACACCTAAAATGTAGTTGTGAAGTTAAAATATTGCAATAGATATCATTTAGGAAAGGGAATCGATATTCAGCACTATAAAAGGGATTACACTGAAATTTCAAAAAAAGTAGGAAAATTAAAATTCGCATACTCTACTTACAAATAAAGATGGGGTTTGTTTACATCAAAGGAGGAATCTGATTCAGGTACACACAATTATCTCCCTGAAAACATCACAAAACATAAAATTGTAAATATTGGTAAAGTAAACCTGACGGCAATATGGAACTTCATGTCATTAAAAAATAGGAGAATTAATGTCACTATGAAGTTGCTGTTACCTTGCACAGCATCAGGTATGAGGGCCTGAAGTTGTGACTCCACTCTGAGATGCAATGAGCTTCATCCACGCAGGCAAAGGCTATAGGTGGCATCTTGGAGGGGTGGGGCAGGCAGTTTGTACCCCCTCCTACCACTGCTTCCGGTGACACCAGGAGGATCTGCACCTTCCCTGCCTCAATCTCTGCATGGACCTGGAAAAGAAGGGTTTTAAATTCATCACTGTGACTGGGTTTAAGAGAGCTCTAAAGGCATCGTTTAACAATGTTAAATCTGAGATGCATTGCCCTACGTGTTATCAGTGTCTGTGATATGGTATAATATTGAAGCCCTAAAAAATTGAGCCTCAAAATGATCACGAAGTTTCTCAAAAAAGACTGTATAAAAACGTTAGGAAAACAAATGTTTAAATATCTTGATAATCAGACAGGTTATCGACTTGTAAAAGTCATGGGGTTCCTGACTGAACTAAAGGTTTATAATTATCATTGCAGCATGAGCTAAATCCAGGATTTTGTTTCAGAAACTGAGACAAAGTTACCCAATCCCTTTAACTTCATCAATGTCAAACAGTGACTGTGTTTAAGTGTGTCTAAGAGAGCTTTAATATAAGACTGCCTCACTTTTGAAACATTCCATTTTGTAAGACTTACATCAACAAACAGTAAAATTATCTTAGAAATCTTCTGACACTGCCACTCTCTCTATACATCCAATTTTGCAAGATCTACATTCACTCAGGCCTCTTCAGTAAAATGAGTTGATGTTTTCATCTAAACAATTGATGCTTACAATTTCAATGGAAACATTAAGTAAAAAACTACATCACCTTTATCATCATAACACCTAGATTGCTATCAAAATATTGAGGTTAGTCCAATATATTCATCAATCATGTCATATTCATAAAAACAGATTTGAAGGAATACTAAAATTTACTTGCAAGTACCATTTTACTTCCAATTCAGGCAAATCATCCTCAATAATATGACCATCAATACATTCATCAAGTAAACTACAACTATGCATAAGTTGCAGGTAAGGACATATTGAACAAGAAATATACTCTCATGAATATTATTTTTAATTATGTGCAATATATAAATGTTACGTTAAAAAGATTGTCAATGGTTCTATTTTGTACCCACATACTTTGTTTTTTTAAATTCAAGTGGTTGCTGAGATTATTTTTAAAGTATGATTGTGTTAGCAAAGAAAATAATACTAAGCTGGAAGAATTGTGAATATACTTAATTTTTAGCCTATGTTATGTTTAACTCAATCATTGAGTAGTTAATGTAAATATTTATTGAAATTATGGAAATAAAAACCTCGCTTGAGGATAAGAGAAGAAAAAGAAATTATTCATTTAAAGTGTTACAAAGGGGGAAATCCCTTTATAGCCCAATAACGCTGGAGCCCCTAAATGAAGATTACCTTTTCTCTCTGTGGTTTGCTCATGTGACTGTGCAGCCTGGCGCCCTTGAGGAAGTGAGGGAGCCCTACGACTTGATCTTCCATGAGTGATACGAGCGGAGAGATGACCAGGGTGATGGCCGGGCTGCGCTTGTTGTACATGTAGGCTGGCAGCTGGTAGCATAGGGATTTCCCTGCTCCGGTTGATAGTACTACCAGGGTGGAGAGGCCTGGGAGGGGATGATCGAGATGATCAAATAAATTAAGTTGTTGAATGAAATTAGTTGTTGAAAGTTACACTTAAAAGTTACACTTAAAAGTTACACCATCTCAACAAGCTATCAACTGAATCATTGCCTGGAGATGCTTTAGAATAACCTACCACTAGACATAACAAAAGCCTCATCTGTTGCTGTCTTTAAGTTTTCAGAAGCTTTTGATTTTTGTTTTGATTGTGTGTTTAAAGTAGCACTGTTGGGAGTTTTTTTCTTCTTCATCACAGTGCAGTAGAGTGTATTTGTATAGTATAAATTGATCTAATTATATCATCATCCTCACCACCACCACCACCACTGTTGAGTTTTGTTTTCATCAGTGCAGTAGAGTGTATTTGTATAGTAGCTGGGCTATATAAATTGATCTAATTATATCATCATCCTCATCCTCATCATCATCATCATCACCCCTATCACCACCATCACCCCCACAACCACTACTACTACCACCACCACCACCACCACCACCACCACCACCACCACCACCATCATCATCATCAATCATCTCTTACCTGATAATATTCTCATGACAGCTTCCTCCTGGCCAGGTCTGAAGGTATCATAGCCCATCTTCTTGAAATCAGAGAACACTGCCTTGGGTGTTGCTAAGATTTTAACCAAAGAAACATAAACCCAATAACTCAGATATTTTAATCAAAATCATTGCTCCAATAAAATATATTACATAGATTTGCAATATTTCAATGTGTTGTTTTTATTTTGTCAGTCTTTGTTTCAAACGACTTGAGGGGTTATATAAAGACAAGAGAAGCAGATCAAGGATCGTTTGAGAAGAATCTTGCAAGTATAATGTATGTAAAGATATAAATTTGGAAATAAAATTAGACCAATTGGCAGAATGATGACATACAATGTGGGTCTTCTTGTTAGCACTTTCAAACATCACCTACAAAGCATTAAAGGTAATAACAAGTTTTGGTATTGGGTCATGAGTTTGGCTCAAATGAGCATATGCGATCCTACAATATTCAGTGATCGTTGTCACGGTTGAAATCGAGTCTAAAGTTATGAAGAGTTGTAAATAATAAACTTTTCATGTTGTATAGCTCCCTCTCAAGGTCAAGGTATTAAATAAGCTGTAAAACAATGTTTCTAGACTAAAATCGACCGATTAGCTTTTCTCGTTTGGAAACTATATACCACAGCTACATATTCTGAGATTTTCATGATCGCAACTACCATCGTAAGGTCGTAGGCTCTATTTGAAATTCATCAAAATTTACCGGGAGCACCGGTAAATTGTTATATTTATTTTTTCTTGAAAGCAGAAGTGTTTTAGGGACTAAATTTTCTAGTGCTTATAATACATCCACAGGGGCATCAAAATATATCGAAATTGTAAAGAATCACTATCCACCCAATATTCAAAATTTCCCAAAACTTTGTATTACCTTTAAAAAAGATATAAGAATGAAAAGGAAGATACATGTCAAATACAGTGGTATTTAACTAGGTTTAAAATAACAATCATGTAGTCGTAGGATGAGGCAACTACATGCATATCCATTCCTCAAGTTCCTGAGGGTGTTTCACAAAGATCCTAATTTTAACTTATCTCTAAGTTGGACTTAACAATTATGGAAAGCCGTTAGCATCTTTGAAAATATTTTGTAAAAGTTATTTTAAAAGGCATCGAAAGTTTATTCAAATAATTCATATTTTCTATTATCAAGGATCTTTTCATGTTCTTGATGTAGAATTTATGAAAAGTCTAAAATACTTGATTTTTTGCTTTTGAATATATTCTATATGGCTTCAAATGGCTCTCCATAATGTTTAAATCCAACTTAGAGTTAAGTTGGACTTAGGATCTTTGTGAAACACCCCCTGGTCTCCCAATCCTTACCATCTGGAATGCCTTCTTCTGTAGGCTCATACAAAGGATCAATGGAACGAGAAGCGATTGGATTCTCGTAGACGGGAGTGGCAATGCTGAGAGGTTCAAACTTGTCTCCTCTTCCTTCATCCGCAAGGTTACCTGTGACAAGCAAAAAAAACAATGACCATTTTTTTTAGCAAAGTGGCATTTTTAGCACTTCTCACCTCATAGCCCACATCTCGAGTATCAGTCAACTGGGTTACTTACCTTATTAGAAATAAATTGTAAAATCTTAGATCAGATCAATGCAAAAAAGGGATGTATGATCTTCAGCAAATAAATAAATCCAATATTAAAAATGGAAAATACCTGGACCATACAGCATCAGACATTAACAACAACAAAATTACAGCACAAACTTTAGGCATTCTGATGTGAGAGGAATTAGGGTAATGCATCCATTACAAATATGATTTTTCACCATTTTTCCACACAGGAGAATACGCAACCTGGAACTCAACATTTGATCCTGATGAACGAATGCTAGGAAAACTACTTGACTATATTGCATTCCATAGAAATACTATGCACTTGTTGTTTGTATAATAAGTTATGCCTCGAAACACAAGTCCTATCAAGTTTCAAGACTGGGTCTTTTTTCAAAAAAATTATCTATAACAGCTGCAATGGTTCTACTACAAATTTGCTCATAAGAGCCTCATAGCCAATCACAAAATCATGATTTCTTTTTTAAAGTAGCTTATATCACTTATCAAGAGGGGCAGACCAACTAGGTCATGGACTGACAACATCATGCAGTGTAGAGGTATGTCATTCCAGGAGCTAAATAGAACAGCTGGAGACAGTAAGCTATGGAGAACCCGTGTCCCAAGGTGTAGCCCCAGCAGCCTACAAGCTATGAGGACATCACTTATTGGATTTGTTTTTACTACAAGTTTTATGAAACAAGGACCTCGTGTGGACTGCATCGCCATCACTTGGTAATAACCTGGTTGACCTACCTGGTTGAGGCTTGGCACCCGCTGCAGCAAGTGCAGCTTCCTCAAGGGTTGGTAGAGGACCCATCACAGTCTCCGGATCCTCAGACTCATCTTCACACTTCTTCTTTATAGAGCCTTGTCCTGTGGTTTAGAATTCAAAGGACAAAGTAAAATATCATACCGTTGAACAGTTCAAAAAGTAAACATATTGCTTTCAATCAAATCGATGAGATGATATCATATCTACAACAAAACAATCTTTGTGTCCCAGAATCAATCAAAATTGTTTTTAAATGTTGATATGAAATGTTTCATGCACCCCTCCCCCCCCCCCCCCAATTTTAATCTACAATGTTAATTAGAAATCAAATAAATCAACTTTACATGTTACTCCTCTAAAGTCTTATCGTAAGTCAAAGTAAACATATGTTCAAAATAACCTGCCAATGATTCATATTACACTGTAATCCCCAGTGCACACTACACAATCCTCCTGCAATCCGATTTTTGAAGAAATGGCAAATACATTAGTAATGGAAATGTAAACAAATATCAACTTCCCGATTTAGTTTCTAAATGATGATAAAAATACTAACGACCTAAATGTTAGTGCACTTACATGTAAGTCTTATAGTCAGAATTAAAGCCAGATCAGCTTCAAATTGTAGACCATTGGACACATGGTCAGATGTCACTACAATTCTGAGCAGATTTAGCTTCACCTTCCCCAAAGAAGATTCAAATCCCTTGAAATTTAGATTTTACAAATCATATGACTATTCCCTATTCAGATCCTCGAACATTAAGATTTCAAAAGTTTGAATGTTCTTCCAAACTCTGATCATAGACGGATGATGTAGTGTGCGATGGGCTTCATACCGTACAGGTACATCAACCTCTAACTTGCAAAAATGTTCAAAATAGCAAATTCGAGTTCAAACTACTACAACTACTACTAATACTGCTACTACTAGTAACACGATGCAAGATATAGTAACGCCTTGCTCCGCTACGCAGGCGAGACAAAAAGGAAGTACACTTACCTAGGTGAAGAAATTATCTTTTAGAAATAATACTGTGCTTCCCAATCTACCAACTTTCTCTCATTATATTCACTATAAGGAAATACACCTACCTGAACATTTACTTGCCCAGTGACCAGTTCCTCCACACTTGAAACACTTATCCCCACTTTGGCTCATTCCTGGTCGGAATCCTCCCCTCCCTCTTCCTCCTCTTCCCCTTCCTCCTCCTCCTCTGCCCCTGTATGCTCCTCCAGCACCTGTTTTCTGCTTCCACATCATCCTCTTGTATGCCTCCCCTCTCATCCCTCCTTTCCCCTTCCTCCGGTAGCTCTTGGTGAGCATGTTCAACCGCACAAAGTTCTCGTTGAGGTTACTACGCTTGGATGATGATGAGGAGACGCCACCACCACCACCACCACCAGACACTCTCCTTCTCTTTCCCTTCTTTGGGGAATCTTCCTCACCATCATCCTCCTCCTCGACCACCGTCTGTTCTTCTTTCTCTCCTCCATCTTCAATCAACTGCTCCTTCTCGCTACCCGTTTTCCTTCTCTTGGACGGAGGAGCTGACGGAGAAATGTTGAGTCTCTTTTTGTCGCCATCACTCTCTTCAATACAATCTACATTACTCTCAATTTGGTTCAGTTCAGCAAGAGAGATTCCATCAAATGATTTATCTTTGGAAATTTCATTATTAATAGATGAATTATCACCACCATTCACAGATTTCTTTGTATTATTTCCCCTCCTGGGCACGCTTTCCAAGAATTGAGCTTCATCGGTTTTGTGACTCTCCTTTGATGGCGTGTGTTCATGTTGAGAAAAACTACTTGCACCATTATTCTTCTTTACGATACATGTATAGCCATCATCCCTATCTGATCCTGGGTGTACACTTTGTGAAGACACGGTGTGCTTTTCTGGACTCTCTCCAACGTTACCTGCTTCATGAACATCAGCAGATTCCCTTACACTCTTCCTTCTGGTCTTCCTTGAACTTCTTTTATTGTTAGATATCGAGGTACCAGTCATTTCCATTAATTCCATGTCACTGATTAGCTCAGAATTCTCATTCATATCTATATCTTCTAGGTATGGCTTAAGCTCATTCTCCTTCTCACATTTCATGAGCCAGTCTTCTTGCAAGGAGTGGTGCCTTGTCTTCGGAAGACCTGGTCCAACCACTCGAGCTGGATCTATGTTAGTCCTTCCCTTTATGCATGATCCAAACTTGATTGTCTTTGTACTCAGCTTGGTTCCAAAGAAATCCAAGACTGGTGCGGGTTCTCTGTGATCCTTTGAGTGGCCGTGAATGGAAGATCCTTGCTTGTGAGAAGAGTCCAGTCTTGGATTGGATTTCTCATCTTTTGACCAGAAGTCTTGCTTTTTGACACTAGGCCTTCCCTGTCTTGGACCACTTGACATCTGTGTGGAATGACAACATGAACAATTGTAATCCATTATCATTTTCTAGTGTATGAAAAAAACTCACTACTTTATATCTATAATCAAATGTGAACTTATTTTGTAGATAAAAGGAAGCCACGTTAGGATAATACATAAGGAATAAATCTTTTCAATCGATATAGAAACTACTCTAACAATGGAACAGTTCAAAGACATTTTATATACTTCAGTTGATTCTGTTAACTGAGATATTGGGTTGTTCTTATAATCATCTAAGATAAGAAATTTTGAAATTTGATGGTAAAGGTCAATTACCCCAAATCAAGATTACTATTCCATTAGTTGTATGGACACATTTTTCTGCAAGTCTCATTTTGACCAGGTCTCTTTGCTCACCTGACTGTTTGCAGGGCTATTGTTGAAGAGTTTCTTGCTGTACATCTTAAGTGCTGCATCAGCTTCATCCTCCTTCTTTTCAGTCACTTTGTCCTCTTCTTCTTCCGATGGTTTCCTCTTGCTTTTATTGAGGTGAGCTCCCCACACATCGTCACAAGTGGAATCTGCACTTTTGTCAAGGGTATCCTTCGACTCTTCCCCATTATCGTCATTGCTGGTCGAGTCCTGCACAGAATACGAGAATGGAATGAATGTTGTATTTAGTGAAGTGGCTAGTGATGGTGGCTATAGGAACAAGAATATGAGATATTGTCTGCTCAGAGCCAGAAGGATGTTAACTAAGTGTGAAAGTATATTAGTTAACGCCCTTCTGACTCCAAACAGACAATGTTTGCTGTTGGAATGCAAATCTGCTCGACAATATGACCGCTCTACGATTTGTGTGGACTAAGAATAGTATTTATCTTCCTATATGAAAAAGAAGTACATACATTTGATGTTTTGCTCCAATGGAATATATCACATCCATTGAAACGGTAATAATAGTGACATTAACAATAAGATAATCTAACGTTTATTCATCGGGTCTACTTAGTGGAAAGAAAGTCAGTGCAACCAAAGTCAGTCATTACTCCCTTCCTCATCTTAAAATAATGATGATCCTCAAAATAATGATGTTTACTCCAGTCTTAGATCTCTAAGTTGCATATTGGGTTAGGTTTACAAAATAACAACATAAGGCTTGATGTCTAAAAGCACATACATTGATACAGTGATATGCACTTTACAAGAACCGAATATTACTATTATTATTAATGGGTGCATGTATTCTTTCTCATCTTGGCAATGTGCTTGGATTAGTATAACATCATGATCTGTCAATCGGTAATCACACAGGGGGAAATCCTCCATAGTGAAACAATGAAGGAGGTCAATAGAGCATTGAAGTTCTAACATCATATTCGCCCATCAGCCAGGTTACTGGTTCCACACAGAAAAGCCTGCGCATGAGGTTCACCGCGAAATAATTCGTGCGACGGACTTGAGCAGGGCCAATTCAGTGTCTGGTGCTGGTGTGATCACAACGCCATTGTTTAGCACAAAATTGTTTTAAACCAGCAACCTTGACAACTCAAATGACCGGTATGACATCACACTTTGGTAATCTACTGAAAAGTCATAAAATACATTGAAATGTACATGGACCAACATGGATCTATCCTTCAGAGAACCTACCTTCTTTACAGGAGTATGACTTGAATCACATCTGGTTGTGTTTACATCATCCTGAGTGACATTGCTGCTTGGCTTCTGACCTTTCTTCAACTTGCTGTACTTGCTGTACAAATCTATATTATAGACACACAGGAATATACATGTACATGAGGACATTTCTCAAATTGATAAGTACCACAATATATTGTCCCATTATTAGAATTACAAAACAAAGGTTGTTCTAATGGAAGTCTAATTGAGAATACAAAAATGTCCACATATTTCTAAATATGTCACAATAAGGTGACATTAAAATTATATCATGAAATCATAACACAACTGTAGCAACAGTACGAATACAATATAAACAATAAACTATCTGTGACAATGACGGTCGTAAGTTAATTAAGAAAATCCATCTTTACAAGCATCTCTTCTGCTCATGCACAAATTAACATGCATGAGTGTGTGCACACGTTTCCATCCAAATTTCCACAAATAGTCAACTTTATATTTATGAAAAAATTCTGACGAAGAAAAAAGGAAAAGGAAAAAACTGAATTGAGATGAACTGTCACTATAACCATGTCACTCCCTTTGAGATATTATCCTATGGCTCAAGACATGGGAATGCTTCTGACTCCATAGTGACTGTACCTTGAACATTGTCAGGGGCTAACGCAATGTCATCTCGGCCTGGCTTGCGGTTGTTGGTCTCTCTAAAGTCATTCTCCCAAACCTTCAGAGCCTTCTTGATTTCCAAGATTTCATTGCCATCACTGGACGAGGTCATGATGATTCTATGTGATGATTGCTGTTTGCTCAGAATCCAATCAGTGCAGTTTCAAACTGTACCAAGGTACCAACAGAAGAAAAGAGAAGAGAAGAGAAATGCACATATGTAGTTATCCTGGAATGCAACACAATTATTGCTTAAACTTAAAAACTTTGTTTTCTTAATTAATTTCATTTAAAATCTATTAAACTGACACAAGATAAGAAAATGCCTGCTTAGTGCTTAAAAGGATAATCCGACACACATTTAAATCATAAATGGCAAAAAATTAAACAAACAAAGCAGTGAAATTTCTTCAAAATAGGATGGAAAAATAAGAAAGTTATGGAATTTTTAAACTGCGCATACTGTAATCCAGGGCTGTCGACTTTGGGGAACTGCTTCGAGGGAGATATCAAAATCTCTTTTTTTTAAAACTCAACCCCCCCCCCCCCCCCCTTGAGCAAAAAAAAAGGTGAAATTGTGGTTAGACCCATGTTTGACGGGAGGTTTTTTCTTAAATCGGGAGATTCTACATTGTAACAGGAGAGCGGAAGGGCTTGCGCTTGGTGGTGGGAGTCTCCCACTACGAGCTGGTGGGACGACGGGAGAATGAGGGTGGTGGTTTGAGACTCCTTCCTAATGTGGGAGGGTTGACAGCCCTGGCATAATCATGCTACCTTGATATATATCACCATGATCATACTCATACTAGTCATACTCATAGAGTCATACTACTTCTACTACCTCAACTACTATAGGCCTAGGCTAGGGCTAGGGTGTACTAACTTGGTTGGGTAATCCCTTTGGCAGCTCACTCAGGAAGCGATATTATTTGCTGTGTATGCAAGTAAATGATGTCATCCCTGGCCTCACTTTCGTTTTGTACATCAATTTAACCATAGGTCTAGACCCTAGATCTAGTCTAGTAAAATAGTAATGTAGATAGATCTAGACCTAGATCTAGATCTATGTGTGGGCATAATGATGATGACATGCATGATGCAATTGAATTTTTGAAAACATGCCTTGAAGTTGAGAATCTGAAAGTTGAATCCTCATGGAATAATGCAGGGCTGCCGGCTGTCAACTTGTGGGAACTGCGTCGAGGGAGATCCTCATAGACCTAATTTGTATGCAATTTTTTTTTTTTTTTTTTTTTTTGGGGGGGGCTCAACAGGAAAGGGGGGGGGGTGTTGAGTAAGAAAAAAAGGGGGGAAAATCGAAGTGCTCTCCCCCCCCCCTGGTCTATATGAGAATAGTCTTTTAGTTGTGTAGTAGTTGTAGGCTAGACTCGACTGACTCTAGATCTAGACCCTACCTCACTTTGATTTGAAAACTCGACGACCCAGAGCCGAGCAGAGACAAGCTCTATCTCGACCGGGAGAGCTCCGGCCAAGCGCCGCACCACGGTCCACTCCCGATCGACATACGGTATTCTCGCCTACGAACTACCAGTCATGCAAGTCCTGGTAGAATCTACACACTACAGTTAAGGTAAAAAAATATTCAAATTCTTTGAAGGTATTCTATTCGGTGAGAAGCACAGATATTATATACGGCAATGCACGAAACTTTTAATGATAATATTAACTTAGACCTAGAATCTACTCACTGTTTTCGACTTCAATTTGACTTTCGCGCTCGCGGGATCCGAGCTAACATGTTTTGCGGGCGTGCATATGGTACGCCGCCGATGATGAGGATGCTAAAGCGTGTGATTGTGCGAGCCACCCAGAAGTCACCTTTGCCACAAAGTTCATTTTTATGAATCTAGTGTTGTTTGAAAAATTTAGATGATTTAATGAGATTGAAGGCCTACATAATTTCTTTAATCTCTTTCTTCAATTTTGATTATACTTATGTTTGTGTACGTTCAACATATTCATCATTATTTTCCTCTTGGCTTTCGCCTGCATTCGATCTCCTCCTCCTCCTTTTCTTCTTCTCCTTCTTTTTCTTCTTATTCGATCTTCTTGTACTTATATTCATTTCTGTCATCCGTTTATCATTATCAGTTAATTAGTTTATTATCATCATTATTATCTTAAATATTTTTTATTTTGTATATCTGTCCGAATATTATTACTTTAACTTATTAATTTATGTCGGGGACGGCCCGGGACGCCCCCCCCCCCTGGAAATAAGCCCCCGAACTTATGGGTTATCCTGTTCAAGCTGACTTAATTTGGATTTAGTTATTCTTGTATATTGTTGTATATTGGAAGCTTGGCGAATACAAATCAATCAATCAATCAATATGCTCTTTTAATTCACAAGTTATGTTTTTGTGAATCTCGGCTAGCTTACTTTAATATGGATAATTATGATTCTTTCCAATTTTATATTCTGTTCCAAATTCCTTCCTTGTGATGTCTTATTTGATAGCCCATATACCCCAGACGTTGGACAAACCGACAAAGCCCTCCTCATAACATTTCCATTCTCTGCAGGACAGCTATAGAGACAGAAAAGATTGGAAATGTTACGAGGAGGGCTTTGTCCAACTTTGTCTGGAACTCTGGATGAACTATAGCCTGATAGATAGATAGAAATATACCCCATCAGGTACATCCAGTGGCGGATCCAGGGGGGGGGGGGGATTAACGTTTTCGAGGACCAAAAAAAAAAAAAATGTGATCACTACCCCCCCCCCCTCTGGCGCTCAAGGGGGGGGGGGGAATTAAAGTTTTTGAGGACCAAAAAAAAAATGTGATCACTACCCCCCCCCCCCCCCCAAACTGAGTGACTTTTCGGCCGGCGCGATTTGCAAATTTTCAGGAGCAAAAAAAAAATTATCAGCACCCCCCCCCCCCCCCTGATAGATAGATAGAAAGATACCCCGTTAGGTACATCCAGTGGCGGATCCAGGGGGGGCGGGCCCCCACCCCCCCCCCCCCTTGAGAAAAAAAATCATGTAAAAACATGTGATTTTAACCTTTTTTGGGCGGGTTGGGCCCCCCCCCCCCCCTCTGGCGCTCAAGGGGGGGGGGATTAAAGTTTTTGAGGACCAAAAAAAAAAGAATGTGATCAAAACCCCCCCCCCCCCCAACTGAGTGACTTTTTGACCGGCGCGATTTGCAAATTTTCAGGAGCAAAAAAAAATTATCACTACCCCCCCCCCCCCCCCCCCCCCCCCCCCCCCCCCCCCCCCCCCCCCCCCCCCCCCCACTGAGCGACTTTTCGGCCTGTGCGATTTTCAAATTTTCTGGAGCAAAAAAAAAAAGTAAGAAATCCTGGATCCGTGCCTGGCTACATCAGTTAAAATATAGGTCAGTATTAAAGGGTCTATAATTTAATAGTTTCTTGTTTTGCTTGTTTTTCTTAAAGCCACACTGTCCTACTTGGAGCTACTTCCTCCCTCTAGGCCTATATAGAAAAACAGTGGCTAATCGGCCCATTGGTCCCCCATGATCCTCTTTTTCTTATGTTAATTGAGAGCTGAGTTGATGAGATAACCACCTGTCCAGTGACCTTGCAGGGGGTCTAATCCCTCCTATAAACTAGTACAGATAAGCTTTAATATTTTATACCATTTATTTGTATTTTGGTAATTTGGGCTTTTTTATAACCATATAAAAACTAAATTTTCCTCTTTTGGCTTGTCATAAGCTAAAACCGGCGCAAGCCGTTTTTAATTTTTGTATCGCTAGAAATCCCGCGCGCTGCGTTTGCGAACTTTGGCCTTGTGCAATGCCAATGGCTGACACTTTACTGCACTGTTTACTGTTTTAACTTTGAGATTTTGCCTTGGCAATGGCCCTCGATCTCGACTTGAAGTTGGACGCTGGATAAGTTGTTCGATGGAGACTTTGTTGCAGAGTTCCTATTTCAGGTAAAGCCAAGCATGCCAATATCATATTCTATTATCACCTGTCTCCAACTCCAGGCCCAGGGAGCTCCGACGCCGACGCCATTGGGTGTCGGAGCTCGAGCTCCTGCGCTGCGTCTCACTAAACCGTCATGGATCTAGACTAGACCTACTCATACTAATTACGTTACTACTAGACAGAAATAACCGTCTGATATGGGTCATTTCTTAAATAAAACTGACATTTGTTGACATTCCCAATGTATAGAGGCGGTCAGCAGAAGGGGCGCTGGTCCGAGAATAAGGATCGTCTTCATAAACGAGGATCGTCTTTGTATTATTGTAAACACGGACCGATGCGTCCTCAAAAATAAGGACCGTCTGCATTTTTGCAGACGTTTCATATTTTTGATCGACACATTGGCGATGCAAAAAACGGATTCTGCAATGATTTTTTTGATGCATTTTACATTGACATTGTAGCCTACAGAGACGTTCACATTTTTAAGCAATAAATCCTTGGGAAGATGGACAACCCATAAAAGTAGACGGTGAACTAGTAGTAGGGTTATTTTCCCCCGGCCCCGGGGAATCCATTTTTGGCATCGCCAGCGGGCGGTTCTGTAACATGAAACCCCCAGAGTGCCGATGAAAAAAAAACGTCCTCGAAAATGCAGACAACCCTTATTTTTGAGGACGCATTTTGTCCTCGTTTATGAGGATATCCTTGTTTATGAGGACGATCCTCATTCTCGGACCAGCGCCCCTACTGGTCAGTGGAGCCAGATGCAATCTCAGCGGAACCACCGTCGATATCAGAGACTGAAATAAGAGTCGAGAACGGTATAACGAATCGTCTTCTAATAATTTAATGAAACGTCAATAGAAACTGAATTTAGACAAGGATTAAGAGTCAAGAACGGTACAACAAATCGCCTTCTTTCCAGGGTTGGCATATTTCCCGCTTTGGAGGCTTATTTCCCGGACGCCGGGAAATAAGCGATATTTACCGGTATTTTCCGCTTTTTACCGGTAGACCTATTTAGAGTAAAACCACCAAACTTCGGACATTGCCAAACTTCGGACAAAAATTATTTCAACGGCTCGAACGCAAAATATGAGCCTAGCTCAGGCGGGTAACTTGCATGCATTTGATACTAGAGTAAACCACCAAACTTCGGACACCGCCAAACTTCGGACAAAATTACTTCAACGGCTCGAACGCAAAATATGAGCCTAGCTCAGGCGGGTAACTTGTCAAGTTCAATGAATGCATTTGATACTACTACTAACCTACATCGTTAGTACAGAAAGTTAGGGCAGGTTGCCGTCTGCAAAACTCACAAAAAACATCGAATTCAGAGACAGATTTCAGGTTACCTGGATTTTTACAGTCCCTTAACAGGGGAGTTAAGGTATAGAGCCTCCAATATAGCGATTAAAAACAAATCCTTGGCATATTTCAGGTGGTTTCTGCCAAAATTGTGGGAGCTTATGAGATACTTTTTCACTCTATCGCGAAAATTTTCTAATGGCGGCCGTTACCACGGACCTAGGGGTACTATACAGGTACCCCTACCAGAAGATGGCGCTCTTCCAAACTTCGGACATGCAACATTGAGTGTCATTTTGACTACGAAAAAATAGCGCTTTCGTAAGATTTTAGCACCAAAATATTGTGTGAGTGTTGTGAAAAACACCTTTCTGATAGTTCTACCTAAAATAAATCTACCCAAAACGAGAAAATAATACTTTTTTCATAAAATCAACGCAGTCAAACTTACCCCCGTCGTACCATTTTTGATCCGGTTTCCAAACCTCCGATGAATGCGCACTTCAGCGCGCGGGCTATACGTGCGCTGTACGTGCGCTATGCGCTATGCGTGCGTTATACGTGCGCTACTCATGAACGTCCGAAGCTTGGCAAGTGCGTCCGAAGCTTGGCATGAAAAAAGGTTCGGCGGGTAAGTAAATAATTCTAGTTTTCCATTTCCTTTACTAATTTTCTTTTCATGATATACATAAACAGTATTTGCACAATAATAGTATATTTGATCTTTCAATAATTAAAAAAAGAATTTAATGTTTTCCCCCGTTTTGTCTTAAGTGTCCGAAGTTTGGCGGTCTTACTCTACTACTAACCTACATCGTTAGTACAGAAAGTTAGGGCAGGTTGCCGTCTGCAAAACTCACAAAAAACATTGAATTCAGACTAGAGACAGATTTCAGGTTACCTGGAGTTTTACAGTTCCTTAACAGGGGAGTTAAGGTATAGAGCCTCCAATATATCGATTAAAAACAAATCCTTGGCATATTTCAGGTGGTTTCTGCCAAAATTATGGGAGCTTATGAGATACTTTTTCACTCTATCGCGAAATTTTTCTAATGGCGGCCGTTACCACGGACCTAGGGGTACTATACAGGTACCCCTACCAGAAGATGGCGCTCTTCCAAACTTCGGACATGCAACATTGAGTGTCATTTTGACTACGAAAAAATAGCGCTTTCGTAAGATTTTAGCACCAAAATATTGTGTGAGTGTTGTGAAAAACACCTTTCTGATAGTTCTACCTAAAATAAATCTACCCAAAACGAGAAAATAATACTTTTTTCATAAAATCAACGCAGTCAAACTTACCCCCGTCGTACCATTTTTGATCCGGTTTCCAAACCTCCGATGAATGCGCACTTCAGCGCGCGGGCTATACGTGCGCTGTACGTGCGCTATGCGCTATGCGTGCGTTATACGTGCGCTACTCATGAACGTCCGAAGCTTGGCAAGTGCGTCCGAAGCTTGGCATGAAAAAAGGTTCGGCGGGTAAGTAAATAATTCTAGTTTTCCATTTCCTTTACTAATTTTCTTTTCATGATA